CCCTCAACATTACGTAGGGTCAAACATGAGAGGTGTGACCTCATTATAAGCCAAAAAAACTAAAGGATCAGGGTAGAAATGAAGAAAATTACAACAGCCTAAAAAAAAATCAACTGGTGTAAAAGCAAACCAGCATAGTTGGGATAAGACATAACACAGCAAAGAATTTGAGGCAGTGAGGACACAGTTAAGTTCTTTAGAGCACATTCATTTATTAAAGTGGCATTACAATCTGCTGTGTGTCACATATTATATTATTATGCCTGAACAACTTTACATGCAAATACTTATTGCAACGAGTCATTGATCTGGTTTAAGGCTTGGCAAAAAAAAAAAAGTTTCAGTAAAGTCTTTAGAGGAACTCACTTTCTTATAGCATAAATTATATTCTCAAAACAATATATATGACAAAACTTAGCTCCTATGAAACCCTAGGGCTCTCAGTCCACCAAATAACGCTGCCCTATATTCACACAAATGAATAGCCTAGGGCTGGTATGAATGAGACTCCTATGAAGAAGAAGGCATTTTAATGAATATTAAAAACTCAACTCACATTTAATATATAACTTAGTTGACACCAAAAAATGCAGAAAAGGCTGGTGACATTTTTATCAATATGTAGACTTGAAAAATTACTTCATAACACATCTAAATTATAAATCATTAAAACTGGGTATTAACTAAAATCCCCAAATGAGACAAACACAGAGAGAACATAAACTTTGATGCTTTCTACTTTTATAAACATTTCTTATTTTTAAGAAAAATAAATCTTTGTTAATTGGCACAATCATAGTAGAATTCTTAACCTAAGGGCAAGGTCATTTCAAAACAGCATTAGATCTTAGTTCTTTTCTTGAGTTGGGCTGGAACAGATTAGGGAAATATTCTACTCAGAGGGCCACATCCTGTACCACAGAAAAAGCCAGTGTTTATGCGGAGCATGAAGCTATGGGTGTTCCCCAGCTACTCGGAGTCTAAGGAATCAATACCTCAGGTACACCTGCAACACACAGTTCAGGAAGCTGTTCTAAAGACTGAGGTGAAGATAGTTTACCCCAGGGAAATATTCCCAGAAGCGTCCATTTACACACAATCCTGGGGGGGCTGGGATGTGGAAAAAAAAGCAAAAAGATTCAAACACACAGCACCATCAAGCTCGGTAACTTCAGTCACATCATTAAAACAAATTGATGGAGCTCACACTGCCAAGCATGGATGTATTCTAGACTAGGCTATGCAACAGAACTTTCTGCAATGATGGAAATGCCCTAAATCTGCACTGTCCAGTAAGGCAGCCACTAGATGCATGTGGTTACTGAGCACTGAAATGTGACTTGTGCAACTGAGGAGCTAAAATGTCAGTTTTATTTTATTTTCATTAATTTTAATTTAAATCTTCACAACCACATGTGACTAGGGGCTACCACTTAGAGTGTAGTTCTAGCCTGACCACCAAAACACAAGGTGCCATTCAAAGAGTTTTCAGTGCCCAGGCTGGCCATGCACCAGAGTTCATCAGTCATCTCAAACCCAGAAATGGGAAGGGACGGATCCCTCAGCACAGCCACAGTGCATCATGATGTCAAGTCATGCTCTGCAGGTCAGACCATGAGCATGCATAGAAAGTCTCCCTACCTACATCCACCCTCTCCAAGTATCAGTTAAGGAAACCAGCCCAAAAAGGAAAACACTTTCTCTCCTCCAATGAACTACTGATGAGAACCAATGTGGGGAAAAGCTAGAAGATGCGACAACCACTTACAGATAGAAAGTTCTTTCATAAACTCAAGCAGCATATCACTAAAAAGGAGCTCTTTCCCTCCAACTAGTTTCTGTCACATCCTTTCTACAAATGAAGCCAGGTACAATTCAAATTATAATAAAACAGGGTGGTTAATAGTATCTGTTCTGGAATCAAACAGACTTGAATTCAACTGTCACCTCCATGGCCTACCAGCTTTGGGACACTGGGCAAGATGATTAATCATGTCAAGTCTCCATTTCCTTCTATGTAAAATGGGTTAAAAATACGGGGCGCCTATGTGGCTCAGTCGGTTAAGTGTCCGGCTTCAGCTCAGGTCATGATCTCGTGGTTCGTGGGTTCGAGCCCCACATCAGGCTCTGTGCTGACTGCTAGCTCAGAGCCTGGAGCCTGTTTTAGATTCTGTGTCTCCCTCTCTATCTGACCCTCCTGGCTCATGTTGTCAGCTGTCTCTCTCTCTCTCTCTCTCTCTCTCTCTCAGAAATAAGTAAAAAACATTAATTAAAAAACTTTTCTTTAAATGGGTTAAAAATAGTCCCTCCCTCACAGGGTTATAAGGATTAAATGAGATAAGACATAGAAAGGATTTAGCAGAGTACCAAGCACACAAATGACATTTAAGGATTACCTATCACTAATCCATCATTACTTCATTGTCTTCATCATCACCATTATCATCCTCTCTCCCTAACACAGTAGGTAGAAAAGAAATCTACCCAGAACAAATCTTATTGTAGAACAAATTCCAATTTAAAAAATATCCACACCTGGGTGGCTCAGTTAGTTAAGCATCTGGCTTCAGCTCAGGTCATGATCTCGCAGTTTGTGAGTCCGAGCCCCCTATCAGGCTTTGTGCTGTCAGCTCAGAGCCCATTTCGGATCCTCTGTCCCCAACCATCTCTACCCCTCCCCTGCTGATTCTCTCTCTCTCTCTCTAAAAGTAACTTTAAAAAAAAAAAATCCACATATCAAAAGTTATTCTTAAGCCAAAATACCTGATATACTTAATTTTAATATCTTTCTAGGTTTCTCCTATACTATGCTTCTAACTTTCTTATAGTTTTCTTATATACTTAGTTGTTTCTACCCAAAAACCTGACACTTTATGAAAGGAGATGAGTTGTTTTTTTTTTCCTGTGTCCTCTCAAAACACGTAGCTTAATTATTTGCACAACAGTGGACATTCAATAAAATAAATGTCACCTGAATTAAATTTATAGAATTATATTCCAAAATGATCACGAGTAGCTACTTTCAAAATGGATAACGGCATCACCCTAAATTAATTGAACACTTAAGCACTAAGAACTCTCGTAGGAGCTGGGAATTCAGCTGTGAAAAGACAAGGGACCATGTCCCGGGAGCTTTCTGGTGGAGGTGGCAATCAGTGGACACAAGTAAAAGAAGGGTGGTAAGAAACAATAAATGATGAGATGAAAAACAGAAAGGGTCCAGTCATGGTGTGCCTCAGAGGCCAAGGAAAGCAGTTCAATTTATGTTCCGTGTACCATGGAGAGCCACCACTGGGATGTGACCTGGACTGATCAATTTTTTTCAAGATTGCTAAGGCCTCTGTGTGCATGGCAAAGTGTAAAGGGACAAAAGGGGAAGCAGGGAGCCAGTTAAGAGGCTCCCCAGATGCCAAGGTAAGAGTCACTGGTTGTACAGTGCTACAGCAGCGGACACAGGTGTGAAAGGGTCACACGCCCACGTATTGTGGAGATGGATGGGCCAAGCCTGGCTAATGGCCTACTGTAAGGAGGAAGGACAGCACGGGGCCCAGGTTTAGGGCTTGAGGAAGATTAAAGAGGCCTGCTTTGGATATGTTACACTGAAGATCTGTAAGCGGAGACTTCAAGTAGGCAGCTGTCTACTAAGTTTTGTTTCAGGGAGAGAAGTTAGAGCTAATGAAACAATTATGGCAGTCGCAGGCACCTAAACTAGGATTCAATGCTGAGAACAAACTGAGGGCTGACGGGGTGGGGACGAGTGGCAGGGGGCTGATGGGCATGGAGGAAGGCACTTGTTGGGATGAGTACTGGGTGTTATACGTAAACCAACTTGACAATAAGCTATCTGAGGAAGAAATAAATAAATAAATAAATAAATAAATAAATAATGATTCAAAACCCATAGAATTAGGGGAGATTACTTAGTGGAAATCATGAAAGACAACTAGGCTGAAGAAGGAGGGAGGAAAACCACGAGTGTGGTCCAGAAGCCAAGGAGACAAGTGGTCACTTTGTAACAATAATGAACTGTGAATCCCTCTTAATGCACCCACTAAACAAGAAGGCTCATTAACAGCAAGAACTATTACTTATTCATTATTTCTTACTCAACTATTTCTTATTCATCTCTTGGCCTCTGCTTTAAACATATCAGAAGCTCAATTCATGGTTACAACTAATGATTGGTAAGAAGGTCACAACTGTCCGCAAGTGAATGGCATTTGGGCATCATGTCATCCTTCTCAATGTACTTCAGTCTGGAGGAAGATCTGCCACATGATACCCTTTCTAGTAAACTACTTAGTCCAAGATTAACCATCTCAATTATTTTCTCATTGCCATTTCCTCAATAAATGGGTGTCCATCCATCACACTGGGTGCCACAAGAACAGTACCACATACACAGCAGGGGTTCAATAAACTACCTGTTGGATGAAGAAATGGATAGGATAGGGGAGCACAAGGAAAAGGGAAAGAGTCTCTTATTCCACAGACCCACAAAATGAGGCTTAATAATCATCTGTAGATTTCATTTAATATCTTATTTTCATCAGTAATTAAGACTAAGAAGAAATAAACTGTTTATAAACTTAGAAGACTATTGGATAATGAAAGCATTGGGGTAGTTCACAATTTGGAAACAGTAAGTTCAATATTTTATTATAAATATTTACTCCTAAATCTCTAATATTCCTATAAGTAATCCATTTTATACAGATATTATGAAGTAACCTGCCAAAACTACACAGAGGCTTCAGAAAGCCTGACTGAGGAAAAAAAAAAAAAACTTCCCAAATCTGTTTTGCAAGTAGATTCATTCTCCTTTTAGTACAAAATGTTTTAAAGGAAACTCTGGTACTGATTTCTAACATTCCAAATAAAAAGCCAAACATCCAAATAACAACAGACACAAAGGAGGGTAGAAGAACTTGACTATCAAGTAAACTTTTATTGTTTACAATTTTTCTACTAAAAATTCTAAAATTAAAATTCTGAAATACCTGAGGCACCATAAGCACCAGAATACCGCTGAGACTTCGAACCAGATGGGGAGGTTTCCTTCATACGATCAATCACATTTTCTGAAAGCTGAAAAGGCAACATCAAAATAAAATCAATTATATAAAAAAAGGAAAGAAAACAGTACAATAGAATCCAAGTAAGTTAGTCATCCATATCAATATGTATAACAAATGGCCTAAAGAAAGCTAACAGCTATAAAACTAAAAGCAAGAAAGAACAGTTTTAAAATCTCAAGATGCACCCTACGGCACTGCTTCTTTATTTCTTCTAGTGCACTGCTAATAGCTCATTATAAATAAATCCTCTCTTCATTTTATACAGTGCACTGAATTGTAATCTCTGAGAAAACATAAGCCAAGAAGACTCCTTCGACTTTCCTCCCCTAATCCTACAAATTAATTTATGCAAGCAACAGGTCTTAGCTCCTTCCTTCCCTCCATGCCACAGGAAATGGTGTCCCTCCATCCTTCCCGTTCAAACTAATCACAAACAAATGCTCTTTCAACAAATTCTATTATGTACCAACTCTGTGCCAGGAACTAGGCGAGACGTGGGGTATTCAATAGTCATCAAGTTGCATAAAGTGGGGTAGAGGAAACCATCATCAGGCATTTAAATATAACAGGAAGGGCATCACCTATGTCAGCTGACCTACAACGGAAATAAAAAGAAAGCATAATGGACAGGACATCCAGCCAGGCTTTGGACGTGAAGCTGGGACTAGGAAAGAGAAGCAGGTGTTAGGAAGGGAAGAAGCAGGGTAAGAGTACTCCAAGAGGAGGGAAGCAGGTAGCGGTATAGATGAGAAACAGGGCTTGCCACCATCAGACATTAAGCGCAGATAACAAGTAGGCAGATGGCAATAAGGCAGAGACTGAGGAACACTCAGGCCTGGAGGTCTGAGAGTCATCAGCCCCTGAATTACTATTATACCATTCTTTTTATTTTCTTTATTGCACTTAGCACTATCTGATGCATTCCTGTTTGTCTGTCTTTTACACTAGAAAGGAAGTTCTATGAAAGCTAGCATTTAGACGCCCTATTACATCCCCAGAGCCTCAATAAGCCTTGTAAATTGAATGAATGACTAAAGAAATGATTGGAACAATATGTGAATGAATGAAGAATGGCTGAAGCAGGAAGCTGGGGAGAGGGCACAGTGAGAGAAGCTAGAGAGAGAAATAAGGTTTTAAATTCTGAAGAGTCCTAGTAAACTCACCAAGTGAAACAGTTTGAACTTGATCCTGAGGGCAACTGGGCACAATCGAAGTATTTTAAGCAGAGTGATGACAAGATCAGACTTACATTTCAGAAGGATCACTCTAGCCACTGTGTAGAGAACAGATTGGAGGGGGACATGAACAGAAGCAGGAGGTCCCCTGAAGGAAGCTAAAGGACCAATTAAGAAGCTATTAAGCATATGTCCGCACAAAGATTTGTGCAGGGATGTTCACAGCAGCATCAGACATAATATAGCAAGAGTGGAACCACCCAAATGTCCATCTGCAGGCGAATGGATAAACAAAACATTATGTATCCATACAATGGAATTCAATTCAGCAGTAAAAAGAAGTGAAGTTCTGACACATGCTACAATATGGACAGATCTAAACAACAGTTAAGGGAGAAACCCAAATACAAAAGGCCACACATTATATACTTTCATTTATATGAAGTGCCCAGAAAAAGGCAACTTTGCATAGATAGAAAGTAGAGAAGTAGATGCTTACAGCTGGAGTAAGGATGGGGATTAACTATAAATGAACATGACAGATCTTACTGGGGTGATGAAAATGTTTTAAAACTGCATTCTGGGGGCACCTGGGTGGCTCAGTCAGTTAAGCGCCGACTTCGGCTCAGGTCATGATCTCACAGTTCGTGGGTTTGAGCCCCGCATCAGGCTCTATGCTGACAGCCAGCTCAGAGCCTGGAGCCAGTTTCCAATTCTGTGTGTGTCTCTCTCTCTCTCTGACCCTCCTCTGCTCACGCTCTCTCTCTCTCAGAAATAAACAAAACATTAAAAATAATTTTAAACTGCATTGTGCTGGGGCACCTGGGTGGTTCAGTCGGTTGTTAAGTGCCCAACTTCAGCTCAGATCATGATTTCATGGTTTGCGAGATCAAGCCCCACATCAGGCTCTGCACTATCAGTGCAGAGCCTGTTGGGTATTCTCTCTATCCCTCTCTCTCTGCTCCTGCCCCAGGCTCGCTTGCTTACTAGTTCTCTCTCTCTCAAAATAAATAAACTTAAAAATATATATATAATTTTAAAAAACTGGATTGTGCTGATAGTTGCACAACTTGGCAAATTTACTAAAAAGTGTTGTACACAAAAAACATGAATTTTATAATACGTGAAATACACAATAAAGTTGTTTTAAAAAGCTATTATGGTCATCCAAAGGGAACACATTCAAAAGACATTTAGGATTCAAAATAGCTAACATTCACTGAGTGCCTATTATGTGCCAGGCATTACACTAAAAATGCTTCACTCATTTAATCCTCAACAATCATATGAGATAGATACTTCACCCTATAGGTGAAAATCTGAAGCACAGCCAGACTAAATAACTTGCTCTGGACTTTGCATTTTATCAGTAATGGAGCCAGGATTCAAACCCAGGAAGTCAGAGTTTCAAGGTCCCACTCAGGTATGCGGCTTTACGGCCAGACCTGGTGTCTGACGAGCCATGCAAGTGAAGCAGAAGTCATCAGCACATCCAGGTTTCTGAGTCGTGTAACGGGGTGATCCCCCTCCTCTATCCGCTAAGACCTCCTTCCAACTTCCACGTCCTTCACTCCCCACCATCTAGTTTATAATCCAATACAGTGGTGTTCTTCTAAAAGTCACCAATGACCAAACAGTCTTTCATATTTATATTTATACAACAACTAACTTACATGGCTTCCCTTTAGCATCTAACACCTGCGGTCACTCTCCTCTTCTGGAAATGTCTCCATTGACCTTTCTGACCTCCCACCATCCAGACAGCCCTAGGGCTCTGGCCACATCTTATGTTTTGCAGACTTCTCCTTCCCGCCTACCCTTACATGCCAGAGGTCCCCATAACCTCCCTCGCCTTTATCCACTTCTCTCAATGATCTTGCTGGCAATCTCATCCACTCCCTTGACTTGTAACTGCATTGATAAATTAATGAATTCTAAATCCTTCATGTCCCAAACACTAGACCTATGCACGGAACTGCCTAACGGACACCTCCTTTTGGACAGACCACAAGCCCCTCAAACCCAACATGTCCTAAACTGAATTCACATTTGCCAAAATCTCTGTCTTCTTGCTTTCCTAATCTCATTAATGACACCACCTCCATCCAACTTTCTAAATCAGAACAGAGGACTTCCCCTGACTCTTCGTCCTCCCTCATCCTCTGAGCCATGAAATTTCAACCCCTAAATTCCCAGTAAATGCAACATTTCCTCTCCCATCCCAATCCCCCTGCCCTAATTCATGGCACCATCAATAATCTTCCTAAAATGCAAATCGGATTAGGGTAACTCCCTGCTTCAACCCTTTATACCTTCTGTTGACAGAGAAGTCCAAATTCTTCTGCACAGCATCCAAGACTTCCTCATCATTGGGTCATAGCCTAACTCTCAAGCTCAATTTCCACAGCCTTTCCGGTAATACTTCATACCTTGTCTCCCCCCAATACTGGCTACTTATTTGAGGCTCTCTCTTTGCCTTTACACATGGCTCTATTGCCTTCTCCCCTGGCCCTGGAGGAGGGAATCACCTTTCAAAATCCAGTTCAAACATCCTAAAGCCTTCTCTGACCAAATCAGTTCCCCACTCAATTCCAACTCTGCTTACCCAAGGCTACCTTTATTTGCACCCTACTATACCTTGCACAAATCTCCAAGACAAAACAAGTATTTTTCCTTTCCACAAAACTGTGTGCCCCTGTATACTACTGAATCATTCACCAAATGTTTCCTAGGCCAGCATTAATTTAAGGCCCTTGCAATACATCACTCAACAAAACAGTTTGTACTTGAGTAGTTACTAAACATCTCAGGACCCAAACCAGAATGCAGGAGAGACAGTTAAAGGCAAGACTACAGCTCAAAAGGTGGGGTCTTTGGAGAAAAATCCCAAGGCTCTTAGAAGAGAAATCGAAGTTAGAAAGGACAATGTCAAGGGACTTTCTATTTGAAGATGTCAGGGCCACTTGCATCTTTTCTAACAACTGACAGCCACTGACATTGCTGCTGAAACTCATTGGCAAAGCTGAGATACATCTCAGGAAAAAACCCTTTAAGATTGACTGACTACAATCCTCTCAATTTACAGGTAAGAAAAAAAGCCCTGAGTTAACATCCAGTTTCTGGTAGCATCAGGATAAGCAGTAACCCCACCCCCCACCCCCCCCACCCCCGGTCTCCAGGCCAGTGCTTTCTCTATTAAACAATACACCCCTACAATCCTATGTGGTAAAATAAATTCACTTCCTCTTAAGGAGATAAAATGAGCCTTACTAAGTTTTAGAACCTTAAAACTATTTTAATTGATACATAATGTATATAAAGCTCATTAAATATGTAATACAATATACCACATATTATATATATTTATAGGCTATTTTAATTGAGTATGCCATAGTACACTACATATATTATATATTACATATCATATACTATTATAAACTACTATACATCATATATGGTATATGTTCCATATTTAATATAATTTGTGTCTGAAGCCAATGTATCTAAGGTTAATTTGACATAAATTATATGTACATATAATTTTGTATGTTAATCTATATTTCTATGATTCTGGCCAAAGTCAAAGAACTACAACTACACTAGATACATATGCTACGCAATCAGAAAGTGAATGTGTTTGCTAAAAATCAAATATTAGCTATAAGCCTTCACCTGTATTGGAGATAGGCTACCCTTTCTTCTAAACACCATTTCATCCACTTCTCATCAAAATTCATACATTACCACTACCTATTGCTACTTTCAAAATGAATACTACAGAAAGTCCTTCCCAGTGACTACAGCAGCTTCAAAAGTATTATCCCTTTAGAGTAAA